GCTGAGCAGGGAGCCCGATGCGGGGCTCGATCCCAGAACCCAGGGATCATGACCTGAGCCGAAGGCAGTCGCTTAACCAACTGAGCCACCCAGGCGCCCCAAAAAGGTAGACTTTTAATAACTGCTTTTATCACCAGGCTAAGTCATGCAGTTACAAAGTAGTTAGAAATTTCTGAAAGGATATTGTTGTTTAAAAAAAAAAAATCTCATTCTTACATAAATAATCTCTAGTAGTTCATTGGGACACTACTGTTCAAAAAGCCCTGGGGAAATAACTCCCAAACAAAACACTCAACCCAAGGTTGTTTCCAGCCCAATGGTAATGAAGCTGTGTGCAAGAATTCAGGCCTCTCGAAGAAGACACCACGTCAGGCCTAGTCGGGGCCATTGGCAGGGCTCGGAGCCGCCAGCTAGCCTCCAAAGTGGGAGCCCAAGTGTTTTTTTTCTGGGACACCCTACTTGAATTATTGTTCAATTAGACAACACAGTAGATCTTCAAAGGAGAACAATTAATTAACGTGATGAGGAGGTCACTGTACTCTTTGGACTATACGTCGTAATTGCGGTTAGTAAATTCTGACAGTCTTAACAAAAATAGCCTCCACCATTTGCAGGTATGAAGATAACTTAATTCTCTATCAGATGTTTTATTTTTGCTGGACAACAAAACATGATTGACAAGCTATAAATGATACTGTTTTATATTATAAAAATACTAGCTTTTTTTCATTTATTATATTTATAGGCATTCACTGCTTGAGTCAAGGTTAGGCTTGGTAAGTGATTAAAGGCAATTTTATTACAGCAGCATGTACTTATTATTCTAAGAGAGTAAAATGCATAAAGGGAAACAGCTTTTATTTTTGTTGCTATCTGTAAAATTGAGTGACTTTGCTGATGTAAAATACCAGTAACTCACTTGAGGACCATGCCACCTTCTGAAAATGCTCACACCTATTGCTCAGAAGCGTCAGCCTTACAGCGTATCTCAGACTCGTCCAGAGCCGATGTGGTCAGCAGCTTGCTGTTCTTGGGCAACGGGTGTGTTCCTGGCCCCAGCTCTGACTGCACTCGAAGCTCTGGCTTCTTTGATGACGTGTAAGTGTGCAGTGGTTGAGGTACCATTTGGGGGTGCCAAGGCTGGTGTTAAGATCAATCCCAAGAACTATACTGATAATGAATTGGAAAAGATCACAAGGAGGTTTACCATGCAGCTGGTGAAGAAGGACTTTATTGGTCCTGGCATTGATGTGCCTGCCCCAGACATGAGCATGGGTGAGTGGGAGATGTCCTGGATTGCTGACACCTGTGACAGCACCATAGGGCACTATGATATTAATGCCCATGCCTGTGTTACCGGTAAGCCCATCAGTCAGGGCGGAATCCACGGGCGGATCTCTGCTACTCGCCTGGGAGTCTTCCATGGGATTGAAAATTTCACCAATGAAGCTTCTTGGATGAGTATTTTAGGAATGACACCAGGGTCTGGAGATAAAACATTCATTGTTCAGGGATTTGGTAATGTAGGCCTGCACTCTATGAGATATTTACATCGTTTTGGTGCTAAATGTGTTGGTGTTGGTGAATCTGATGGGAGCATATGGAATCCAGATGGTACCGACCCAGAGGAACTGGAAGACTTCAGATTGTAACATGGATCAATCCCGGGCTTCCCCAGGGCAAAGCCTGTGAAGGGTGCATCTTGGAAGCTGACTGTGACATCCCGATCCCTGCTGCCAGTGAAAAGCAGCTGACCAAGTCCAATGCACCCAGAGTCAAAGCCAAGATCATTGCCACTTTTTTTTTAAAAGATTTTATTTATTTATTTGAGAGAGAGAATGAGAGAGAGAGAGAGAGCATGAGAGGGGGGAGGGTCAGAGGGAGAAGCAGACTCCCTGCCGAGCAGGGAGCCCGATGCGGGACTCGATCCCGGGACTCCGGGATCATGACCTGAGCCGAAGGCAGTCGCTTAACCAACTGAGCCACCCAGGCGCCCCTATCATTGCCACTTTTATAGCATGGTTTTACTCAAAAGAATACCAAGGGAGGGGACCAAGGTTCTGCTCACCACAGTTCCTCCAAAAATCCATAAACTGATACTAACAAGTTCACAAGGATCTAGATGCAAATGCTATAAACCTAGAAATTTAGAGATTAATATCCACCGAAGAAAAAATTAGAACTAATCATGGCCCTATACAAAGTTGGATCATTATCCATGAGAACCACGTTAAGATACAGTGGCTAACTGATTAAAAAAAAAAGATGAGACTATTATTTTCACTACTATGTACGATTAAATTTCTTTTTACAAATTTTATGTATCTATTTGACAGAGTGAGAGACAGCGAGAGAGGGAACACAAGCAGGGGGAGTGGGAGAGGGAGAAGCAGGTTTCCCTCTAAGCAGCGAGCCCGATGAGGGGCTGGATCCCAGGACCCTGGGATCATGACCTGAGCCGAAGGCAAACACTTAAGGACTGAGCCACCCAGGCACCCCAACGATTAAAATTTTCAACCCACAGGGACATTGGTTTTCTTTTTCTCTTGCCTGGGGAAATGTTACTTGTTTCCATTTCTGGACCAAGAGCAAACTTACCTAAGTAACTGAAATATCTTTTTTTTTGTAATTTATTCTTTGCTTCTCAATTCTAGATTTCATTATCATATGGCAATATTAGCAGAGAATACTGAGAATTAAAATGAAATTCAATAAAGTGATCTGGCAAAACATAGCATTCTAAGGAAAAATAAATTAATGCTATTAACCTTAAGTCTATTTGAAACAGGCATCTCTTTACAAGTAACTATCATACACACATATGCATTTCCTTGGAGATGAAGGAATGATATGCAAGACTAATGTAAACATGTAAACTACCTCACAGGTTATGGACCTTGACCATTTCATTATTGTGCAAATTGACTTTTAATGATTCTCAAATGGAGAAAAGCCAGGAAATTATTTTTAACATATTTTCAATGCATTCAGAAAATGGGGATAGCAAATTCCATGAGAAAACTGTAAAGTTGTTAAGTTTCAGTGCTATTTTCTGTGCTATTTCGGTGATTTATATAATTCCCAGATAAACCTCAAGGCCTGAAGGCTACAGAATATTCTGCATTGAATGTCATGCAATTCACACACAGGTTGTTCTTACTTGCCCTGTGTAACTTGATTTATGCGTCACCTTGCCTAGGCTTTCGTTCCCAGTCTTTGCTCAAACACTAGTCTAAATGTTGCTGTGAAGGTATTTCGTAGATGTGACTAACATTGATAAATTGTTGATTTTAAACACAGAAGATTATCCTCCATAATGTGGTGGACCTCTCCAGTCAAAGGAGTTAAGAGGAAAAACAGATTTACCAGAGTAGAAGGAATTCTGCCTTGGTTTCCAGGCTGCTATCCTGCCCTATGTATTTCGGACTCAAGACTCTAAGTATTCAAGTATAAACTGATATTCTATGCTAAAATAAAGCACAGGAAGTGCAGTTATTACAAAGCCAAGAATTAAATGGGATTAATTGGGAATTTGAAATCTTACACATTTTATACATCGATGAGGCACTTAGTTCTCTGGAACTGGTAAGCATAGAGGTACTATATTCTTGATTATGTGCTTAGGCAATGTGTTTATGTTTAATTAAATTTAAATACTCAAATTCTTTTTTAACTATAGTCCAAAATTTTCATTTCCAAAAGTAATGCTTGTTATTATTTAATGTGTTGGTGTATCTGGGTGTTCTCTTGTGTGTCTAACTTATGTATGACATCTTGTGCCAAACACTTCCAACACCTTACATAAATTAATGTCAGTCAAGTACAAATATAAATATATTTTCATTTTTTTCTTTTTCTAAATTTTGGAAGATTTTAGTGATATTGAAAAATTAATGAAAATATTTTTAAAAGATGAAAGAATAGATAAGTATATTTCCTTTAACTCTTATTCTTCTTGAATTTTCTTCTTAGCTAATATGGAAAGGAAAATCCTGGAATTCCTTATGGTGAAGGAACTTGCCAGTTGCATGGTTAATTGATTGTTCAGAATGGGTAGTGTTATTATCACTAGTGCTTTTGTTTTTACTAGCTTTGGTCTTTCAATAGCTATGTCCTCACTTACCAAGGAAGTTATTCTTTATTTAAATTATAAGTTAATTAATCTGTATATGGGTACAGCCATACTTTGGAAATATTGCAGGTTTAGTTCCAGACCACTATGATAAAATGAATATCAAAAAAAAAAAAAGTGAGTGAAATGAATTTTTTGGTTTGCTAGCGTATATAAAAGTTATGTTTATACTATGTGGTAGTCCACTAAGTGTGCAATAACATTATGGGTAAAAAAATATACCTACCTTAATTATAAGATATTTATTGCTAAAAAATGCTAACCATCATCCAAGCTTTCAGCAAGTTATAATCACTGATTACAAATCCCCATGAAAAACAGTAATAATGAAAAACTGTGAAATATAAATTACCAAAATGTGACACAGAGACACAAAATGGTGCTGATTGATGCTCAATGCAGGGTTGTCACAAACTTTCAATTTGTAAAAAATGGAAAAACACAATATCTGCAATACACAATAAAGCAACGAGCAACAAATGAGTTATGCCTATATAGGAATATATTAAAAAAGAATGCTTAGGAACTTAACTGTTTATATATGAAAAACTCCTTTATGAATTATAGATTCAGCAATTTATTAAATAAATTAACTAAATATATAGATTTAATAATTTATTAAAATTATGTATCAATAGAGGAGTTTTGCTCTTCTTAAAATCTTGATGGGGAAAATATAAACATCTGGGGTATAATTTTTTGATGAATTATAATCCTAATAAAATAATACATATTTAGAAACTATGTATTGATGGACATTAAGGAGGGCATGTGATGTGATGAGCACCGGGTGTTAAATGCAACTAATGAATCATTGAACACTACGTCAAAAACTAATGATGTACTATATGTTGGCTAATTGAATTTAAGTAAATAAATAAATAAACTATGTATTGGGTATAAAATAGGTCAATCTTACGATTTAATCCCAAAAAGAGCAGCATTAAAAAAAAAATTCATGCAAGGTTAACTTTCTTCTCATTACTAGAATGTGTGAGAAAAACAGTTAAATAAATTACAAGATATAAAATAAGCACTTATGTTGTTTATGTTTCTGAGTTTAATGTATATTTGAGATAATTACATAAGCATGTGGCTTCCCTAACATATTTCCAAACTATTTGAAATTAAAGATACAGCAAGCATAAATACACACATACATTTTTCTACATATATATGTACACTGTAGAGCATAGTTATATTATTGTACATCATAATAAAGAGATTTAAAACCTAAGAAAATTCACTTTTTCTAATGCATGAGATTTGTCACTTAATCTTTCTATGACAAATTATATTTACTAAGAACTTCAGATGAACTGGGCACTGTGCTTGAATGAGGACATCAAAGATAACATAGACAAACTCTCTGATTCGGTATCATTAATAATTACCAAAAGAGATATAACATAATGAAGTTGTTCAATAAATATTTCACAGAGTTATTTTTTGTTTTTTAAACTTAGCTTTTAGGATAAATAAGTTTCCAGAGAATGGAAGGGGGAGTAAGAACATTTTCACATTTCATTTTTATTTAATAAAAAATCATCATCTCCTACATTCTAGAATATCTGAAAAATATGTGTGTATGTATTTTTGTGCATATGTGTGTTTATAAATTGAAATATGGTTGTGTATATGTAATAATACATAAAGTATTATTTCTACTTCCAAGTGAGCTTAATATCCAGTGAAAAGGAAATGCAATGTTATAATTTATAACAATATTATATTTGCTATTTTGATAATATCATTAAGACTTATTGATTTTATTACTTTACCTTCTTTGGGAGCTTATTATGTACCAAAGACTGTGGAAAGGACCCTATAAATTCCAGTTAATTTAGTTAATTATAAAGCAATATAAACATAGTATAGAAGCAAGGAAGATGGTGACAATTATTCCTGCTGGTGGGAAAAGGGAATATTTCACACAGTAGATAAAAATTCAAACTAGGTGTTGAGGATGGGGAGCGTTCTACCCAATTGGGGTAAATCATTCCTGAAAGGGAATATTTTGAGAAATGTGGGAAATATGAAAGTGAATGGTGTATTCCAAAAGTTGGTCAACAAAGATGTGACTGGAACCTGGAGTATAATGTTCTACAGATGGGTAAGAGCAGAGGATATGATAATAATAGTGATGATAATAATAATAAATTTGAAGACCAATTAAAATCAAATTGTAAAGATCATCTTTTGGCTATTAATTTCCTATGAATAGTAAGAAAAACTTAAAACTTTACTTCAGAGGACTATGAAATTTTGTGTTAAAAATTGGTATCTAATACACAATGCTTAAAGGAAATTAAAAAGCAAAGTATATCAAGATATCCATAGATGTGCATAAATGTTGACTTGTTGCTGCTCCTGGGTGGCTCAGTAGGTTAAGTGTCTGTGTAGGGCTCGGGTCATGACCTCTGGTCCTGGGATAAAGCCCCACATATGCTTCCTGCTCAGTGTGGTATCTGCTTCTCCCTCTCCCTCTGCTCCTCCTCCCGCTCACTCATGTGCTCTCTCTCAAATAAATAAATAAATAAAATCTTAAATATATAAATAAATAAATGTTGACTTGGTACTCTTAAGATAAAACTCCTAACATTTTATTCTCATTAAATAATTTTTTATGAAAATATATATTTAGAAAGAGATGGATATTTATATCAGTATCTATAAAAGAAAAAAGATAGAAAAAGGTATAAATAGGGAAAAAAGTATAAAAAGGAGAGGTAGAGGAATGAAAAGAGAAAAGAAGGAAGAAGCAGTCAAAGGAACAGACCTGGATGACTAATATGGGGAAATGTTTGAGTGTGCTCCAATACAAATACATGTTGTATTAAATTAATATGCAATCTATTAATTTTTTTTAAAGATTTATTTATTTGACAGAGAGAGACACAGCGAGAGAGAGAACACAAGCAGGGGGAGTGGGAGAGGGAGAAGTAGGCTTCCCGCCAAGCAGGGAGCCCGATGCGGGACTCGATCCCAGGACCCTGGGATCATGACCTGAGCCGAAAGCAGACGCTTAACCGACTGAGCCACCCAGGCGCCCCAATCTATTAAATTTTTAAAATTGTTTTTATATTACAATGAAATTCACATTTTTTAAAAAAGTTTTTTAGGAAAAAATTGAAATTTATCCTTATAAAATTGAAATACATCCTTATACTACATCCCAGGGTCAACCACAGTATTTGGATATATCCTTACAGATATTTAAATATTTATGCTATGCATATATAAAAATCTATGTTGTGTATATGCTATATGTATATTAAAGTACCATATAGTGATGCTAGTATTTAGCTCTCCAAGAAGACTTTTTAAAGTTTTATAGAAAACTAAACCTAAGTATATAGCTCAATGAATTTTCACAAACTGAACAGCTATGAAACCAGGAACCAGATTCAGAAAGTGTATTGCCAGTGTGCAAGTAGCCTTCTCTTAGCCTTCAGGTAAAAACCATCATTTTCTCCTGGAGAATCAACATTTCAGTTTCTTACGGAATATATTTGACTGTTTTTCACTTTACATAAATAAACTCAATGTACAGTCTTTTTTATCTGGCTGCTTCAACTCACCTTTATTTTTAAGATACGTATTGTTGCATGTAGTTGTGGATCATTCATTTTCATTCCTTTATGGTATGCCAGCAAGTGATTATACTGCAATTTAGATACCAATATTTATCATCCTACTGTGCTGATATGAACACTCATATGCCTGTCATTAGAGAATCCGTGCATGTGTTCTGTAGGCTCTATACCTAGGAATGGAAATTCTGATTCATAGGGTTTGCATATGTTCAGCTTTAGTAGATCATGCCAAACATTTTCCCTAAATGGTTTTACCAATTTACTCTCCTCACTGATATATGAAAATTTTGGAGCAACACATCTTTGTTTTGTATATATACATTTGTCTTTTTAAAATTTTTGGCCTTTCTGATGGGCCATGGTGGTGTATAATATATATACCTTTATATGCAAAGTCTAATATATATTGGGCATTGTGTTTTAGAGCAGCTTTTTGTTCACAGCAAATTTCAGAGGCAGGTATAGAGATTTTCCAAATACCCGCTGCCCTCACACACGCATAGCTACCCCTTTAATCCGTATCTCCCACCAAAGTGGTATATTTATTGTAATTGATGAACCTATATTGATAAATCATTATCACCCAGAGTTCACAGTTTACATTGTCGTACCTTCTTCATGTACATTCTGAGTTTAGACAAATGTATAATGACATGTCTCTACCATTTTGGTATCATATAGAAAAGCATCACTACTCTAAAAATCCTCTGTGTTCTGCCTATTCATCCCTTCCTCTCCCTGAAACCCTTGACACTTCTGATCTTTCTAATGACTCCATAGTCTTTTTCTTTTCCAGAATATCATATAGTTGGAATCATACAGATTCCAAGCCTTCTCAGATTGGCTTGATGCACCACAGTTTATTTATCAACTTAAGAACATCCTGGTTGTTTCAAAGTTTTGGCAGTCATGAATAAAGCTCCTATAAATATCCATGTGCAGGTTTTTGTGTATACATAATTTTTCAATTCACTTGGGTAAATACCAAGGAGAATGATTGCTGAAGTCTATGGTAAGAGTATGTTTAGTTTTGTAAGAAACCACCAAACTGTCTTCCAAAATAGTTCTACCATTTTGCATTCCCACCAGCTATGTGTAGGGAGTTTTTTTGTTTTTTGTTTTCTGTTTTTTTATTGTTGTTACACATACTTGACAGCATTTGGTGGTGTCAGTGTTCTGGATTTTGGCCATTGTGATAGGTGTAATAATTTCTTATTGTTTTAATTTGCATTTCCCTGATGACATATGATGTGGAGCATTCTTCATATGATTATCTGCCATCTGTATATCTTCTCTGGTAAGGGGTCTATTAATGTCTTTGGCCCATATTTTAATTGTGTTCTATGTTTTCTTATTGCTGAGTTTTAAGTTCTAAAAAGTTAGAAAAAGCTAAGACCAAAGGAAAGGTTCTAACGATTAAATAAAGTAAGTTTAACACTAGCTTGCACAAGACTTAAAAAGAGAACTAAGAGGAGTTATACCACTAATGACATAGTGAGTCACTGATTTTTTTATATGAAAGAAATGGAAAAGTATTGAATGGTTTTAAGTTAAGAGTGAAATAATCACACTTGTAATTTTGGAAAAATTACTTTGAAGCAAGACTGAATTAAAGTGGTTTACAATTAGAGCAATTAGAGTCAAGGAAACCATTAAAAGGTATTAACATAATTTAGCTGAGAGAGCACACTTTTATCTTCAAATTATTTTCACTCAGCATACTGAAACTATGGTTTATTGTTTTCTAGCATACAATCGGAAAGAGAAATATCCAATGACACTATGAGTCCTGTTCCTCTTTTTGGTTACTGATTTTCATCCCCTTCATCTATGAATATAGTTCTACTGTTTTTTCTCTCTCTCCCTCTCTCTATTTGTTAATCTTCTCTTTTTAGTTATTTCAGGAACTCAAGTTTGATAAAAAGTACAGAAACAAAAACAAGACATTTCAAGATTCTACTTACTAATAATTTCATCATGGAAAATTTGTGACAGGAAAATATCTCTGATTTAAAAGACAAAAACTTGCACTTTTTTTTTTTTAAAGCAACTGTTTACCAGTGTTTTACACCTTTTGAATAAATTATAGGAATAATAATCACAGAGGTAGAGGAAAATAAGAAATCATCTACTACAATTACTTACATTATAGGTAAGAACATTGGGGCCCATAAAGTTATAATGACCATTTGTCTCATACCTGACTTTTAGTATTATGGATCTGCTTATATCATTACCCTATAGATAGTTGTCCAAGAATGAATACACATTTATCCCTTAACAAAAATGTTGACCTTGTTTAGTGCAATTTTTTTTCTCCAGTAAAAAAGAACTTTTTTTTTTTCTATACTGTTATCTCTGACATATTGGGGAGAACAGAGATCATGAAATGTGTCTTTAAATTTTGAACATGTTTCAATAACCTGCCAGCTCTAAGACTATTCATTTAACTCAACTTGAAGAAAATTTTGAAGGCCTATTCCATCACTGACTCCCAAAGGTTAGACCAAGTTTGAACTTTGAGCAATGAACCTTTAGAGGGAGGGCATATTGAACTATAATTTGTCATTTTTCAGGAGAAAAATGTACCTATTATAAGAAATAAATGGGAAATTAATTGTTTCACCTCGCTTGTGCTTAAGAGAACAGACTGTCATTCTATACAGGAATCTGGAATCTATATAGGAATCTAGTTTGGCAAATGCCAGGAATTTATTATCACTGGGTTGATAAAGTAAGAAATCATTAAATATTCTTGTCAGAAAATATTCAGCATATGTATATTCCAAAGTTTTTTTTCTTATTTTAAATAGAACATTTTAAGTATTAAGGCAGCTAATCTGGTAAGAGTTATGTAAAGTAAAACCTGTTAATGGAATAAAGCTAAATATTGACCCACACTTTTTATCTAATGTACATTGGTAACTGTACTGCTTTTATATGTATTTCCAAAAATATTTCATAGAAGCAGTAGCTCTTTTGTGTGTGGGTGATCATTTGAGTTGACAAAGTATTCTGACACTCATTTTCTTTTTCTCAGAAACTTCTGGCATTTAACTTCTCAAGCACATTTAATGTCCCTATCTCAACTGACAGAAACAGAAAGTGCACTTATAATTAGAGAAACTTTGCTTGTAATGAGTGATCTGTTAGTTTTGGATACAAAATTCAGTTCTTTCTGACAGTTCATACCTTTTTCTCAAAATGAACACAAATTTAATTATATAAATGAGCATCTGCTAATGTAAGTGAATGAAATAATAAGATTCACCTGAACACAACACACAAATTGGCATAAAATAAGAATGATGTCTGCAAGTGTGAATGAAGGAAATGTTATGTAACCTCTGTCCATTCAAAAGAGAATGATAAAAAGCGGTGAAGTCATTTTGGTGGAGCACTGGATTATCACTCCTCAGAGTGGAGACAAAATTGAATTGATCAAAATTCTTACAGGTAGTTGATGTGCAAATATTATGCACAGAGAATAGAAAAATACAATGTGATTGGTTATATAAAGTAAAAGTATGGAAAAATAGAAAAATTTGACCTAATTTGTAGATTATGAAAAATTAATCTGCATTGCAATTATTTACATTTTTATCACTTTATAACAACTACTTCAACTCTATTTTAGAAATGAATAAGGTATAAGATAAATTTAGAAAAAATGAGCTCTGTCATCTTTCATTTTATGATGAACCTAAAGCTTTTATGTTTTTCATTGTTTTTTTTACAATTTCATAGATATATTCTAAGAAATGTTAACTTCCTTAGGAAGAAAAATTGACCTAAAGTTTTATTCTTGAATGGTACTTCACTTGCTTTTGTGTTGAATTTAAATAAAAATAATAGTATTAATTATAGTATTAAACTGTATTATTCATATTTAATTATATTGTTAAACTAAGTTAATAATTGGTCACATTTCAGAGAAATTATTTTATCTCCATCTCAAATTTATTGCTCCTCTCCAATTTATATCAATCTACTTATCCCTCTAGTCTTTGTGTGTTTTGAAAAGTTTGTACTTAATGTTAAAAATGTTATTTTTAGATTTGGGGAATTTATAGATATTAATATTTTATTTTCTGACTCCTTGTTCTAAAACAAAACGTGAAGAACATATTATATGCCAGTGCCTTATTGGAACTTTGTAGTTAGTGTGCAAAAAGAACAAGAGCAGTCGGTGGTGTATTACTAATCTGGACAAAACATTGCAAAACACAGCACATACTTGCACACATGTACCTTCTTCAGACAGGGTATGTGGAATCATTGCAAGGTAAAAGAGTCTATTGTGAAAAAAGAAAGGGAAAGGAAGTTATATTTGTAGACCATTCTTTCTCCTGTTTTTTTTGTTTTTGTTTTTTTATCTCAGTTTTTCCCCCATAGAACATTAACTACACTGCTCCTACTTTTGTTATTCAGCCTGTCTAATGAGACTGAGGAAGTTAGTATTAAGACCATGTTGCTCCCTATTTATCTCCTTTGAACAAGATCTTGAATCTCAAGGCTAGTAACGAAAGAGCAAATCTGGGAAGGCACATACAGAATTTTCTAATCTTTCCTGTTTTTGAATATTACATCTAAGCAATATGTATATCTAGTACAACATAGACTCTCCTGATTGATGTTTTGGTGCTCAAATGTCAACAGCTCTGTGAAAGATATACTTAGAAGCAGAATTTTGAGTCATGGGCTTTAATTATACTCAGAATAACAGGATATTCCTTGCTCCACATCTTTCTAACACCTGATATTACCACATTGTTTTTTGTGTAATTGATTAAGTATGTTTAGGTTTTTGTTATAATTTTAGTATTTCAGTGTGGTTCTAGTTTGCATTTCCTTGATGACAAATGATTTTGAGAACATTCTTTATAGGCTTCTGGCCATTTGTGTGCCTTCTCTTATGAAGTATAATTTCAAGTTTTTTACCTATCTAGGAGGGTAAGGGAATGTCTGGTTTTGGTTATGCAAGTGTATCACTTTTATATTTCATCTCTGAGCCTATTGCCAAATAAATACGTTGAAACTATATATCTCAGAACATAACTTGCATTTCCTCTCTCTTAATGATTTATTTTGATATACAAAAGTTGGCTAAGTTTAATATAAACCAAATCATAAATCTCTACCTTTACAGTGATGTTCCGTTTAAGAAAATGTTACTGCAGTAAGGTCATGAAAATATTCTTCCTTATTTCTGGAAATGTCATTGTTTTGATCTATAATCTATCTGGAATTGACACCTGTGTTTATTGTAATTTCTAGATCTAAATCATTTTGATTATGGATATCCAATTAATACAGGGCCATTTATTAAAAAGACTATGCTATCTAGGAATAAAGAGGAATATCCTCAACTTGATAAAGAATATCTACAAAAACCAATAGATAACATCACATTTAACGGTAAGTAACTAAATGCTTTCCTGCTAAGATCAGGAATAAAGCAATACTCCTTTCTCACCAGTCTTATTCAAAATCATACTACAAATTCTTCCTAGTGCAATAAGACAAGAAAAGAAAATAGAAGTATACAAGTTCAGAAGAAGAAAATAAAAATGTCTTATTTATTTATTTATTTATTTATTTATTTAACAAATTCCAGATTGTCTATGTAGAAAACTGCAAAGAATCAACAAAAAACTTTCTGGAGTTAATACGCAGTTGTATTAACTACATTTCGGGGCGCCTGGGTGGCTCAGTTGGTTAAGCGACTGCCTTCGGCTCAGGTCATGATCCCAGGGTCCCTGGATCGAGTCCCGCATCGGGCTCCCTGCTTGGCAGGGAGTCTGCTTCTCCCTCTGACCCTCCCCCCTCTCATGTGCTCTCTCTCATTCTCTCTCTCACAAATAAATAAATAAAATCTTTAAAAAAAAAAATACGCAGTTGTATTAACTACATTTTCTTATTTATTTATTTATTTATTTATTTATTTATTTATTTATTTTAATTGTATTCTTGATGTTCCAGGGCTTTGCTGACTGGGGAGATGCTGTTTTCAAGGCTAGTCATTTCTTAGAGAAAATGGAGACTGCTATTCATGTGCAAATTAACCAATCCATAGCTTACACTTCCAATTACCTTTGTGTGGCTTTTACACTACCAGAAGCAATATTCCTATCTACCCTAATCATCCTAGTTTCACTTACCAGGACAACTGGAAGTGGCCACTATAACCCTAGAGCCCATTGGAATTCAAATTAGCCAATCCTAAACCTTCCTACCCTACTTTCTCTTGTCTTTTCCATGGAAACCACAGTAAACCCTTCTGCCAATGCTTTTCACTTACTCTTTCTGCTTCTTGACAGAACATGGTGCTTCTTCTTGTGGCCTCATATGGTGTGGCATGCCTCTTATTCTTGGGTTCTGTGATTTACAAATTATCTTTTGAATGGCAGTCATTTCCTGATCTGTTGGTCTTAAAATACATGGTCTAAAATACATGACAAAACCTATTTTTTTTAAAACTGCAATTACAGCAAAGTTGTGACAAAATGTTAATATACAAAAGTCAATGGCTTTCTTATATTCCAGCAATGAACAATTGGAATTGGAAATTAAACACATAATACCATTTATATAAGCACCTCAAATAAGAAATTTTTAGATATAAATGTAATAAAATATGCATGGGATATATGTATGAGGAGAAATATAAAACTCTTATAATGAAACTTAGAAAAGATCTAAATATTTTGAGAAATATTCCATCTACATGGATAAAAAGACTCAATATTATCACAATGTAAGTTCTTCCCAATTTAATGAAGACCAGGAATAACCAACACAATATTGAAGGAGTAGGACCATTTGGAGGACTTACATTACCTGACTTTAAGACTTACTATAAAACTACAGTAATCAAGACTCTACAGTAATCAAGACAAATCAAGGTGTTGGTGAATATATATACTAACAGGTTAATGAAACAGAACTGAGACCCCAGGATAGACCCACACAAATACAGTCAACAGATCTTTGACAAAGCAACAAAAGTAATACAATTAAGAAAGGATGATCATTTCAACATATGATGCTGAAAAAACTGGACATCCACATGCAAGAAAAAAATGAATCTGGACACAAACTTTATACTATTCACAAAAATTAACTCAAAATGGATTATAGACCTAAATGGAAAATGGAAAACTACAAAACTCCTAGAAGACAACATAGAAGAAAATCTAGATGTCTTGGATTTAGTGGTGATTTCATAGGTACAAAACAAAAGAATGACACAGGAAATAAAAATTGTTAATTTGGACTTTGTTAAAACTAAAAGCTTCTGCTTTGAGAAAGATACTGTGAAAAGAATAAACAACAACAACAACAACAACAACAACAAACCACAGACATGGATAAAATATTTTCAAAAGATATTTGAGAAAGGACTGTACCAAAAATGTAAAGAATTATTAAAACTCAATAATATGAAAACAAACAACCCAATTTAAAAATGAAAAATTTCAACAGACATCTTGCCCAAGAAAGATATAAAGATGACAAATAAGCATATGAAAAGATATTCTACATCATAAGTTACCAGGGAAATGCAAATTAAAACAATAAGATACTACTACACACATACTAAAATAGCTAAAATCTCAAACCCTGACCATATCAATGCTGCCAAGGACATGGAGCAATAGGAACTATCATTTGTTGCTGATAATGAGAAATGATCCTGTATGTTCTACTCAATTTTTATATAAACCCAACACTTCTCAAAAAAAATAGTCTATTAAAAAAAAATGTAGGGGCACCTGGGTGGCTCAGTTGGGGCACCTGGGTGGCTCAGTCGTTAAGCGTCTGCCTTCGGCTCAGGTCATGATCCCAGGGTCCTGGGATCGAGCCCCGCATCGGGCTCCCTGCTCCACAGGAAGCCTGCTTCTCCCTCTCCCACTCTCTCTGCTTGTGTTCCCTCTCTTGCTGTGTCTCTCTCTGTCAAATAAATAAACAAAATCTTAAAAAAATATATATATATATAGCCTTTCCTTACTGCATGGCTATAGTGTCCTCATCTTATGTCAAATGATCTTAAATGTGGTGGTCTGTTTTTCCTTTCTTTCCCCACTACTCCATTACATTATATATTTATATAACCTGTGCCAATACCATATTGCTGAAATTACTGTACTTTAAGTATGTTTTGCTATCCACTAGGTTCAGCCTTTCAACTTTCAATCTTTCAGAATGTTTTGTTTTTTCCGCAGCACATTGTTTCCCCAGTATACTTTGTTCTAAGCTGGCTGTGTGTGCTCTCCAGTTATTTACTCTTGTTTGCAAAATACCAAATATCACCCCTTACCAAATCTTTACCCTGGTCTACAAGGCTATATATGATTTGTCACCATAGTTCTAGCCTTTATTTCTTGTTGCTTTTCCCTTGCTCTCCTCAATCCAGGCACCCCGGCTGCCTCTCTTTTCTGCAAACACATGAAGCACAGTACACTTTATGGTCTTTGCATTTGCTGAACACTCTGCTTATTCTGCTATTTTACCAGTTTTGCATTTGTCTAGCTTCTTCCTCCTTCCACTTTTATGAAAATCTGATATTCTAAACAAAGCTTTCCCTAAATATCATTGTTTGAAAATAATTCCAGTGCCCCACAATCCCTACGCCCTCTCTACTTCATTTTTCTGTTATTGTCAAATTATACCTATATTCTTGAAAATATAGTACTTCCAAAGTACCTCATTATAAATCATCGAATATGATTCTTTTCTCCAGTGTTCTTGAGTTCCAAAATTGTATATCTCATGTTGTGTATGTTCAATAAAAATAACTTATCAATCATTAAAAATCCTGTTAATCTGGCTGTTGTATAACTCTCCAATTTTATTTAAGCCAACTCTTGCCATACTATTATTACTGCCAAATTAACCTTCTGTTATTTGTTAAACTATTAGTTATTAGAACAACAGAAATATAAATTTACATTTAGTGATGCATAAAGATATCCAAAGTATATTGTTAATTCAATAATCCAGGTATCAAAGTAATATATGTTTATAAACATGATATTCTAAAAACAAAGGAATGAATGCACATATACTTGTATAAAATGTAAAAGAAGCTTTTCATAGTTTATCCTCTGGGAAACTGGTGCCTTATGAGAAAAGGACTTTTAGTTGTAGTTTTCATATCTTTAATGAGTTTGGTTTTTTTTTATTATGCACAGAGAATAATTTTACATGATAAACTATTTAAAAAATAAGCAGTTATACAGAAAGCATTTCTCATCACTTGGTTTATTTTGAGGGGACAAATTTTGGCACTGCAGGTTTTTTGAGCTCCATGTCCACAAGGTAGCTTCCCATTACCACAACTCCACCAGGAACGAAAGATATTAAACTGTTGTCATTTAAAGATTTTTTTTTTTATTTATTTGAGAGAGAGAGAATGAGAGACAGAGAGCACGAGCGGGAAGAGGGTCAGAGGGAGAAGCAGACCCCCCGCTGAGCAGGGAGCCCGATGCGGGACTCGATCCCGGGACTCCAGGATCATGACCTGAGCCGAAGGCAGTTGCTCAACCAACTGAGCCACCCAGGCGCCCCAAAAACTGTTGTCATTTAATATAAGGTAATATCTCATTTCTCAAGCAGTGTATTTTCCTCCATTTTAAATGAATTTTTATTCTATAAAAGTTTATAAAAATGGAATAATCTTTAGTATAAAAAAGTGTCTAACATAGCAAAATATGTGAAATTAAGAATGCTAAAGCTTCAGTATGTTATCCAGAAATTGAAATTATAAACACAACACTATTCATTGAACTCTCCCACAGAACAAGATTAATTTCAATAATGCTTCTGCTTTAAACATCATCAGCATGTGTAAGATTAATCATGTTTCAGTGAGATGTATTGTTGGAATGTTTGATGCCTATTAATGTCCTCACAGTTGTGGTTATTTATCTTCATATTTAAAAGTTGTTGCAATCTTAGCATTAGTAATGTGCAAAGTCATTGCTCTACAAAGTCTCCAATTATGCATAATGGATCCACTTTTTAATACGGGACATACATCTTAAGAGTATTATTTGCTCTTATGTAACATCTTTAAATGCTTTCCAAAAAATAAATATTGTTAAAAATCTAACTTTATATCTTTCATAATATGACAGTCTCAAGAAAAGCAGAGGCACAAATGAAATTTCAAATATTACTTTTCATTTGGTTAATGAAGATGTTAATACAGTAGTTTCCCCTTATCCAAGATTGCTCTTTCCGTGGTTTCAGTTACTTGAGGTCAACTGCTCTCCAGAAGCAGATGATCCTCCTTCTGACAGTATGTCAAAAGGTAGGTAATAGCCTAAGGCTCTAGGTCATTCTCCTCACTTCATCTCATCAGTTGGCAGTTAATCTTTCACATCATCACAAGAAGAAGGGTAGTTGCATTACAATAAGATATTTTGGGAAAGAGAGAGAGAGAACACATTCACATAATTTTTATTACAGTAAAATGTTATAATTACTTTATTTTATTATTAGTTATGGTTGTTAATATCTTACTGTGCTTGATCTATAAATTAAACTTTATCATTGCTATGTGTTTATAGGGAAAAAAAACATAGGATATATAGGGTTCGCTATTATCTATGATTTCAGGCATCCACTGGTGTTCTTGGAATGTATCCACTGCAGATAAGGGGAATTACTGTATATTGAATTTGTCAATATCTGCAGTTACCTTTAAAAATTAAAATATAAAATTGTTAGATTGTCTAACCACATAAGTACAAAAGTAAAGTTTTACACAAATTCTTCCACCTTTTCATCTCTTCAATTACCATCTAATACTGATATCTTAATACATGCTTATTTCCAACCAGACCACACTTTTGAACTTCAAATCTATGTAATTACTGCATAACTAAATTCTCCAGTTGAATGTTTTATAAATACCTTAAACAAATGTGCCCCAGAGTGTCTCTGCTACCATTGTTCTTGTAATATTTGCAGTGGAAATCAACATCATACTACACAATATTTTTGCCCAGACTTGAAATCTAAGGATTCTTTCTGTATGGCTTTCTTTTCTATAAACTTTACATACAATTCAATTTTAGATTTCCTCCTAAATTTCTCTTGAATCATTTACTATTTTTTTCCTTGCTAACTACTAACACCATATCAAGATTGCATCTTTCTTTGTCTGTGCCAGAGAAATATTCTCCTACCAGTCTACCCATATCAATTCTCACTTATCATTGTACTGAGAGTAAATTTCAAAAAATATAAAACATGCTTTTCAACTTCTTTAAAAAAAAAACATGTCTTCTAACTTTTTTCTTAAAATACTACAAGGACTCCTTGTTGCTCTTAGAAGATATTCTAAAATGTTTAAACTACACTATAGGGTTTTAAGTGGTCATCTCTTTGCTTACCTTTACAGCCATACTTACCATTCTTCCATTTTATTATTTTTTGGCACCCACATTTTCCTTCTCTCAGTTCTTAGTCTTGACATGAGCTCAATTTTTTAATAACTTCTTACATAACTCTTCCTTTAACTATGTCCTAAGTTAATGTAAACCTAATACTCTATTTCATATTATTCCAGTGTGCTTCCCTTTAATCTTTCCTTTTTATGTCCATGTTTCAAATATTTTTCACATCACCGAAACCATTTATTTTTTGTTCTCATTCTTCCACTTTAACATTAATATCAAATCAGTGACCACGTTTTCTTTTAATTCAGTCATCTTACCTCAAAACATTAATAATGTCTTTCAACTCATTTTCATTTCCAGTGCTACAACTACCATCCAGTTACCCTCATTTTGATGTTTTAATCTAATAGCCATGTTCCTATCCTTCTGTCAATCTCTGAACTTCATTGATGTGAGACTGGTTTCCAGATGCTAGAAATAAAGTAGTGAACAATATTTATATATGTCTCATGAAGTTTATAACCAAATGGAGGGGATGAACAAGTGGGTGAATAAACAAACAATAATGAACAATTACACACCATGATCAGACTAAACATCATATGATGCAATACATAGAAACCTTATAAAATGTCTCATTATTATAATGTGCAAATGGTTTATTTAGATTACTTCATTGAACTCTTCCTTGGAACATTCTTTAGTTTTCATCATTACTTTAATTTTGCACAGGACACAAACAAGAGTCAAAGAGATTACATGATTTTCAAATGTCCTCTAACAGGTGACATGTTGATGGCAATTATGGATATGGATCTAGATTATTTCCCTGGCCTGAAGAAGCATGCTTCCCCACCCCCAGTTAATCACAGTGCCCTTCTGTATCCCTTCTATATTTCCTTGAGTCCAGGTAACTCTAAAAATATGGAGCATTTAAGTTGCACTTGATTTATATTTCTTTTTTTTTAAATGTTTTTTTTTTAAGATTTTATTTATTTATTTGAGAGAGAGAGAGAATGAGAGACAGAGAGCATGAGAGGGAGGAGGGTCAGAGGGAGAAGCAGACTCCCTGCCAAGCAGGGAGCCTGATGCAGGACTCGATCCCGGGAATCCAGGATCATGACCTGAGCCGAAGGCAGTCGCTTAACCAACTGAGCCACCCAGGCGACCCACACTTGATTTATATTTCTAAATATGGTTCACTATTATTGTTGTTGTGGTTGTTTGTTTTGATTTTTTGGTGAGTATGCAAGGGTTCATTTACTGGACTCTCTTTGTATTAGTTATTACCAAGATGGAGGTGATTTTTTTAAATAAATAAAAACATGCTAGTAAATATAGGGTTAAATCTATAGGGAAAATATCATACTAACAAATCAGTAACCAAATGATACAGTAAAATAATAATATATATTCAATATGATATTTTTGTCCCCTGCAATCTCTACTCAGGGAGAAGCTCTCAGGTTCTGGCTAAATTGCATTACTTAAGGAGGCCGGAATGGTGGGACAGTTAGGTAAGCATGGGGTAGACACGGAGCATGTTATTTCTCATAGTTGACATTGTTTTAGCTTGGATTTCTTGTCACATTTCTGAAATAACTATTCAAAATAATATTCATGCTGTAAGAGGGGCCCTTGTAAACTGATAATGCTATATCTTCACAAAAATCCTTTCTGAAACAATTTGTATTGGTTCACATATCAGAAGGTAGACCATAAAGATAAGGAAGATTTTTTTTTCGTACAAATAAAAAGAAAAACATAATATTGACTTATGTCTACCTATGATTTGCATGAACTTTCTCAGATATCATTACCTCTGTTAAAACTATTATTTAGAAGACAAAATACAAGGGCACCTGGGTGGCTCAGTCAGTTAAGCATCCACCTTCAGCTCAGGTCACGATCCGAGGGTCCTGGGATCGAGCCCCGCATCAGGCTCCCTGCTCCGCTCCCACTCCCACTGCTTATGTTCTTGGTCAGCGAGGAGCCTGCTTCTCCCTCAGCCTGCCACTCCCCCTGCTTGTGCTCTCTCTCTCTATATATATACAAATAAATAAATAAAATCTTAAAAAAAAACTAAAAAATAGAAGACAGCTTATAAAAAAATAATCTGGACTTTTAAAAACAATTAAGTGTGATAAATACATACTTATGTATTTATCTTTGAGATAGATAATAAAAGGGAAGGTTTAGTAATATAACTTCATTTTGTAATTAGATCTAATTATTGCCATATGTTAAAAAACTATATTTCTTTGATTTATTCTTAATATATATTTTTTAAAGATTTTATTTATTTATTTGACAGAGAGAGACACAGTGAGAGAGGGAACACAAGCAGGGGGAGTGGGAGAGGAAGAAGAAGGCTTCC